AAAACGTCATGACAGTAGCCAACATTTGGAAGAAGAATGTTTTCAAGATGACTTGGATAATAGCGCGTTGTGACAAACACCAGATACAGCACTGGGACTTGATCAACAGCCGATACTGCACCGTGACGTCACTAACCAGTAGGTGGCAGTAGTGTTGGATTTCTCCAGTAAAACACATTAAAACGAAAATGACTCTTAATGAAAAACACTTATTTTTTTAACAGTGTGTCATAATTTAATATTTAAAGTACTTTCAGAAGTTTGAATTCTAAATTATAAATGATATTAATTAAAAAGTTTTAGATTTTTAATCTTTTATTAAAGATAGAAGAATCTATATTTACACTGTAAAAAGTTAACTAGAAGTAGACTTTTTTTTAAAAAGTTTATTTTAGCAGCTTGGTCAATAATTGGCCAATGGGATCAGAGTTTCCTGAATATATCCGAAAAGATCAGCCTGCATCTCAATTAGAGGAACTCTGCTTCTGTTCACAGGTTCTTTAACCCGTTGGTTAAAAAAATTAAATAAAAATCCAGGTTTATTAAATAAAAGTATATGAGAAGTAATAAATGTGATGTCAGAAATGGTCAGAACTTGGTGCTGCATCAGGACATGCCTGCTTAAAATAATGTCACCCACTTCAAGGTATGGACACGTCACAGACTAGATTCGTAGGAACTCCCAGACTATCAAAATAAAACTTCCGGTTTTCAAAATAAAACCCAGTATCAATGAAAGTTTGTAGAAAACAACAAAAATAGCACTTGAACCCTAACTGGTGGGTTACAATAAGAAAATAAAAACATGCAGTGATCTGATTTAAGAATCCAAAACAAAATATTTTAATTGCAGTTTAGACATTTTATTAAATATTTTTTTCTTAAAATAGGAGGATTTCCCCTTATTTTAACAGACGAACAACCATTCACACACACACTCACACCTAAGGAGGATTTAGAGAAGCCGATTAACCTAACTGGCATTTTTTGGGACTGTGGGAGGAGGGAGTACCTGGAGAGAACCCCCGCATGCTCAGGGAGAACATGCAGACTCCATGCAGAAAGAGCCCAGGCTGGGAACCCAACCCAGAACCTTCTTGCTGCAAGGCAGCAGTGCTACCCACTAACCCACTGAGCAGCCTGATGATCTTAATCTGTAGCAGAATTGGATTATAAATGGTTATCTAATCTCTATCAGGGCAAACACAGATTTCTGTTTTTCAGATCAGTTTTAGTCGAAGAACTTGGAGCTGATGTGGTCATCCAGCTGCTCTCAGAACATCTCTGGAAGCTCATCTGTACGGACAGTAGGATAGTTGTACAAAAAAAGGAAGGGGAATGGTTGAATTTTTATTTTATTTTATTGGAAGCATACATAGCCTGATTAATATATGCTATTAATCTAAAGCACTATGCATGGTATGGTTGTAACATGTCAAGTACGCCGGTCATTGACCTTTACCAATTCACTTTACAGTAGAACTGCAGTCAGTCCCTTGCAGAGGCGGTTCTAGACAGGCAGAGATGGGAAGTAACGAAGTACAAATACTTCGTTACTGTACTCAAGTAGATTTTTCTGATATTTCTACTTTACTTTACTACTTATTTTTATGGCGACTTTTTACTTCTACTCCTTACATTTTTACACAAATCTCT